TAGATATGTTTGGAGTGAGTGAGTGAGTGAGTATGGTTTTATGCCGCTTTTTAGCAATATTCCAGCAATCTCACAGCGGGACACCAGAAATGGGCTTCGCACATTGTACCCAAGATATGTTTGGAGACAACTCGCTGTTAGATAAATGGTATATGACAGACACTTATGTAGCAATCTCTATGTATCAGATCTGCCTTGTTTATGGATGTATTTAACATAGTGAATGTTGTTTATATGGTGAATCGGGAGAAAAAAAAATAAAATGGCCTGTTGATGCAAAAAAATGACCTTTACGTTGTTTGCATTTCTTTCTCGTGCGCACCAATCATTATGCGTAAAGTTATCATTCTTGTTGATGCTCGTATTGTGCACCGGTGATATATTGTAAAATTGCTCCTTTGGATTTCTGTATTCAATTCTTTTACAACGATGTTTCTAATCAAAACGTGTTGTATATATTAGCTATATTGACACAATTGTGCGCATGTATATGTCCACGTACTTTTCACTAAAAGGCAACCAACATTTTACAATCAGTTTGTGAATGTGCCATTCACAAGGAACATAATGAACTACCAAAATATCGCCCGTTAATTCGGTTACATTTCACAAACTGATTTGATGGCCAGCTGAGGACCTTTCACACGGTGAGTGTCCCGATTCCCTGTTATCATAGGCCTTATAAATGCGTTTCTTATTTGCTTTTCTATTTTTTTGTATTTGATGCGTTTGATTATTGGTGTATTCAATGTGCTAGTGCACTCGTTATACAGTAAGTGTGTTTATGCAAACATTACCAAACTGTGTACCAAGTTGTTTATATGGGCGACACACACCATGACCTTGTTCAACACGGAAGTTCACCCGCATTGCTCCTGCACGCGGCAACATGAAGTGGTGAACAGATAAAGTACTGTCGGAAATGTTAGAAGAAATGCTTTTCTGGATTCATTTAATAAATACGAATCATTGGGCTATGGAAATAGCATATATCAAAATAACGTAAATCTACCTAATCTAGCATGTCCTAACTGACACTGTGATTGGCCTACAGGGGTACTTTTGCATGTAAAATGATGATGAGCTTCTGACAGGTGCAAATGTCACCTGAGTTGGGGGTGCTCTGAAAATATTGCTGTTATTATACTTTATTGAGATATGTGTTGACGGGGTTACCAAGTAAGATTGTACTGCATTATATTTGCGTGGACAAAATGATGGAATAGTTAACATCTATGAAACGGGATGAGTATTGGAAGGTTGTTTTTCTTAATAGGTAAGTATGTGTTGTTCTACAGATGATTTATTTCTCCCATGCAGCTGATGCCGTATCTGGGTCTGTTCTATCACCCAAAGGTATGATAACTGATGCAACAAGGTTGATGTCTGCGCCCTCACGTTGGCGGTCCTAACGTTCTGTTTCAAGAACGTGATCTTCAGCTTTTTGCTGTTCCTCTGGTGTGATTCTAGCTAAGGCTGCGTTGTGTTATGTCTTGCCACGAACCCTTCACAGTTAGCTCAGATAAGCTCAAAAGGGATGAGCTCACAATGCATGACTGGCGTACGTGATACAACGTGGCCTTGCTGTGTCGCTGTCTTGAACTTTACTGGTTTCTTATTCAGGCGAATTTTCTCCAAGAGTTGAACTTACGTTTTATAAGGCCTGAAGTCGAAATTGCAGATATTCTTGTATTGTCGTCTACAGACTACTCATGGTTGGCGTGACAGTATCTGCTTCCCGGATGGCGTTATCCATGACAATGAATCTGGGGTTGTTTTTATTGGCAGTAACTGATGTCACAACCAGTCTATGAACACATCCCCGTTCATTTCCTTGTGATAATCACCAGTTTTCTTTTTCCGCCTCGAAAACTAGCCCACATCCATCAATCAACCCAAGATCACGGGTTTTGGCGTGCATGACAATGATACGATTACCTTTAACTGATGGGTGTCAGCGTGTTTTTCGTCCATCTGGTTGTAGCCACATGTAGTCAGGGGAATGATTCTTTTTCACCCAGGCTTCATCAAGTTAAATGATCTAGACCTGAAAGCCCTGACTGCAATAGTCATGAATTGTGCGGAGATGATGTGAATATTTTTTCACCTGAAACGGCCCTGTTCTCGCGTTCACTGTATCGAGTTCTCATCTCGTGGAGAACATCAATTAGTGTAGTCCGGCAAACATTAATTGTGTCTTTAATTTCCACCCGAAGGGGGTACCTTCTGCCCATAAAGCTTGCCGGTTTCGAATGGGAAGTGACTGGCCCTGAGCAGCAAACCGAAATCCTTCGGTTTCACTTTTCAGGCCTGCCGACTTCATCCAAAGGAAGAACTGTGCAGAGTTTCTGATCTTCATAACACTGCACATTAACTCGATGCAGTGGTGGTTCTGAAAGCCCCTCCCAGAAAAACTGCGAAATAAACATTGACATTGAGATTATACCCATATACTTGGCTCGTTTAAGAAACTGTGGAATGCCTTGTTTTCATCATGAGTCTTGACATGCTTCACAAGAGGGTCATCAGGAAAATAAATATGTGCAAAAAGTGCACAATACAATTCTATCATGAAGATTAACCAAACCACGCCCTTCCATTATAAGTGGTAAATATCAGTGATTGAGAGAAGTGCGATGGTGATGGGATCTATTGTCTGACATGATTCTCTGTGTACGAATACGAAAGGACGGGTACAGCATACATATATGTGGCTTTATCTTTGTTGTGAGGGTGAACTCCAATTTTTCATCAATCTACATTTGTATTCTGCCCGAAGTTTGTCTTTTGATATAGGCATTCTGGAGTTTGTGTTTAACCTTCATCCCTAAGTACGTATAAGCCTGATCTTCCACGAGATGACCAATAACTCCTTGCCCAAGTAAACTCTCTCTCCTACCCTGCCACGTTTCTGATGAAGAATGTTACATTTGTCAAGCCCAAAAGACATGCCAATATATTAAGAACTCGACAATGGGAATATTTTTAGTGTGGATTCGTCTTTGGCAATGTGTTCAAGGTCATCCATTGGAGTAGTAGTAGTAGTAGTAGTAGTAGTAGTAGTGAGTATGGTTTTACGCCGCTTATAGCAATATTCCAGCAATATCCAGCAATATCACGGCTTCACACATTGTACCCATGTCGGGAATCGAACCCGGGTCTTCGGCGTGACGAGCGAACGCTTTAGCCACTAGGCTACCCGACTGCCCCAGTAGTTGTAGTAGTAGTAGTAGTAGTAGTAGTAGTAGTAGAACGGAGTCACATGCGCATATTTGTATAATCCATTTCAGACTTCCCTCGTTGGACTTAACAATTGTTGTTTTCGGTCGAATTTATCTCCTGTAAAATTGTCGATAGGACTCATTGTGACTGAAGTACTTCATACCTCAGTTAGGTACATGTAGATCGGTTATACTTGATATTCCCCGAGATGTTAGAAGATGTCGCTTGTTGTTCCTCTGCATTGCCATCGGTATTAAGGACATAGGCGTTGGGTGTTAAGGGCATAAAACAAGGACTGGTCAGCTCGGAGTCAGTATAATGTATTTGAGAAGAGAGTCCATGTCAAACAGCCTCTTTGTGTTGCAGTGGACAAGCACTATGAAACAGACACATGCCCGGACTAGTACAAGCATCCGCACACACATACACACACACACATGCACGCACGCACGCACGCACGCACGCACACATACGCACACGTGCATGCATGCATGTTGCTAAGTGAAATCATTTTGAAAGCGGAATTAAATCCACCTCACCTCACCAACTACAGTGAAATAGACAAGGCACGTTCACCCAGCTTTTAATACATAATTTTACGTATGCTTCACGATTTGCACGATCGACAAACAGAAATCCTCTGTTCAACAAAGTGAATGAGTGAGTTTGGTTTAACGCCGCTTTTAACAGTATTCCAGTTATATCACGGCGTGTCAGCTAAATGTGCGAGGAAATCCCGAAGTGATGCAGGTCTCAGACGTTTACTACTTCGGAGGACGGGTATGGTGCTGACAAACCTAGAAAAATAATCGGGGCGAACCGGGATTCGAACCCACAATTATATGTTTGATATGCCAAGAGACCCAACGTGCGAATCGCGGCGCCTTAGACGACTGGGCCACCCGCGCCCCTCTGTTCAACAAAGGAATTCAAAGCGGGGTGGTCATTATCCTTCCACGCTACCTTGACCGCCTCCGTGGTCTAGTGGTAGAGCGTCCGCCCGGAGAGCGTAAGGTCCGGGGTTCGATCCCCGGCCGCGTCATATAAAAAAACGTTAAAAGAAGGTACTTTTTGTTACCCTGTCTGGCGCTCGGCATTAAGGGGCTAAAACAAGGACTGGTCGGCTCGGAGTCAGTATACTGTGTCTGAGTGGGGTATCATGTTAAACTGCGGCATGGTATCTCAGTGTGCTAGCAATTTAAATCAGCATCAGTCCGTACTAGTACAAGCAGCCACACAAACACACACACGTACATGCACATCGCTATATAAGTGCAATAATCTTGGACGCGACTTTAACCCCATTTCACCTCACCTCCACGCGACTCTCCGTTCAATCTCCCTTTTTGTCTACTGTACCTTGTCAGGAATGGCTCCAGGATCGCATGTACACTCACGGATATTGACCTTTTGAGCAGAAACCACTGCCAAATATTAAACATACCCCACTGTATCAATGAGTGCTTTACTTACACGTAATACTTACATGTATACAAATATAACTATTTTAGGTACATACCTGGAAGGTGAACACCAATATTGGTGACAAATAGATTTACTGCGTTGTAGTTCTCAATTACACAGTTGTTTGGAAAAGCTGAAACGCTACGACGTGAACGTTTGTGTAGATCCCTCGACCGTGTCGCAAATGACTGCTGGGTCGAGCTGACATTGCTATCATGTGATACTGACACAGATCCATGCCTTGGTATGGAGTTCAAACTGTAGCCCACCTTGGTTCAGTTCAAACTGTGCATTCACAGTGGGTCGAGCTGTAGTCTATATGTACAGACCTCGACTGGAAAGTGGGTCGATCTTTGTGGCTGACCCCGTATACATCCAGATAGATTCTCCTGAAAGATAGAAGGTAGGTTTTTTACACAGCTGTAACGGGTATAGGTGTACGCCTGGCAATCACCTAGACACATGGTTGCATGTAGAAGCCCGGCTACGAGTTGATAATTTGCTTCACTACTTCGAATTAAAAATCAATCGTTATATATGACAGTATAAATGACAAAGGATTCTCGGTAGGTAGGTCAGGACCCTTTGTCAAACAACCGCGCCTCGTCGGTATAATTCATAATGAGCGTCGTATCAGCTTAAACACAAGGGTTATTTACCTATGGCCTTGACACACATCTCGGACACGTATACTCCCTAACCAGTACCGCATGTAACTGTGAAATAACAATATAAGACTGTTGTTCAAATATGAACTTAAATATTTGCTAATCAGTTGAATAGTGTACAGCATGCATGGAAAGTGAGTGAGTGAGTTGGGTTTAACGCCGCTTTTAACAGTATTCCAGTTTTATCACGGCGTGTCAGCTTAATGTGGGAGGGAAATTATAAGAATTATATACTTTGCTGTACTTTGCACTGATCTGGTTTTGTATATAAAGAATATATTTGATGCATGAACATCGGATGTAAGTTATATTCTAGAACCGTATTTATCAGGCATAAAAACGCAAACAAATATACATAACGTAAATTATATCGAGTAACTGTTAATGCATATTGACGCATTTAACGTCGTTGCATTATAAAGCCACTCTACTAACGATACAGCATACAATAAGGTAACTAACACGACACACATATGAATACTGGTCCTACAGATACACGAACAAATAATTCATACATTATTATAATGCACGCTATTCACATTGAAACATGAAAATTATGAAGCATCCACAACACCTGTGATTAATAATTATTTGCCTAGTAGTTTTAACCCGATAAATAAACATGTGGCATATTTGAAATTTGAGACTTTGGACTAATAAAGACTGGACTGTATGATGGGTTTGGTCTGCGAATAGCCAAAGCAGACGGTCAGTTTGGAAAGTTGAGTAAAAGAAGATTATAAATGCCGTTAGAATCACTCAGCTCGTGTTTGGTTTCGTGTTTACAATTTTCTAGTGGTCAGTTGCGGCTAAATAGCTGATGACGGTACACTGGTAAGTGCCGAACGCGCTGACCACTACAAGTTGTTATTCAACATGTAATTAACGTTTCGCACACCGACCTGTTTATGGCGGCGCAAATCTAGGTTTTGTTATACAATTTCTTATCGCTAGTATGTACCGACAGGTCTTAAATGGTTAACCGAAAACTTAAGAATTGAAGGCGAATTTCACAATAAAAGTTGAATAAAATATAGCAATTTTAGCACTTTTGTATATAGGACTTATAACTTAATGATAAAATAATAAATTTATTCCTATTCCTTTCATCTATAATCAGAAAGTTACTATTTTAACGATATATTTAAAATGAACATGATTTCCTATAGATTGTCACTTTCATATTGGAACCAATTACCAACTAAAAGATCTTTTGTTCAATCTACAGATGGACATGACCAACCCAGTATACAAAATAATAGTGCTTCATGATAACCCAAAGTGGTTTCCATTGGTCAAAGAAGCATTGAAGGATTATGACGTCATAACTGACCAATGGTTAGCTGACGAAGTCGACATCGACCTCACGTCATCCCCACCAAAGAACACCATCTTCTACAACAGATGCAGTCCGTCGTCCCATACACGTGGTCACCCATTATCCCTTGAGCAGGCCCGTGTCATCATCAAGTGGTTACGTCATCACGACGTGGTAGTAGTGAATAGTCTACCTGCTATAGACATCGAAGACAGCAAAGCCTTCCAATACCTCATGGCCAAGGACTGTGGCTTAAAGATCCCTCAGACCGTCTTCACTTCCAAACCGACAAAGGCACTTATAGAGAAGCACTTCGGAACGGACGCACCGTTTCTTATCAAACCAGATAGAGGTGGACATGGCATAAACATACAACTCTACCACAATGTTGCCGAATTCGAATCGGAAAAGGAACTGCCTGGTTCTTATACAGGACTGTATTTGATTCAGAGTTACCTCACCCCAACGTCCGGCGTTTACAGAGCAGAGTTCGTCGGGCAACAATTTCTGTACGTCAGTAAAGCAACAATGTGCGACGGCTTCTCGTCTAATTACTGTCCTGACGATTTACCCAAAGACAGGTTCCAGATTCTGAAAGAACTTGATGATCCTGTTATCGATAAGTGTACGAAACTGTTTCAAACTCCCGGGTTAGATAATGGCGCAGTGGAGTTTATCTATGGCCCAGACGGTGTTCCATACGTCATAGATGTCAACTGTAACACTGTCTACAATACCAAGGTGGAAATTGAAGCAGGGGTACCACAAGGATGGAAGAAAGTTGCTGAAACGTTGTTTGCGAAAATTTTGTATTTAAAGGACGCTAAGTAACGTTTAAGCTGGAGACAGCTATGACGGGTCTGGGGTGGGGTGGGGGTGTAAGGGGAGGGGATGAAACGTTGTGTCACACATACAGGACGCCTGTTATAATAAGAAGGAGCTGTATCCAGATTATTTTGTTTTGAAATTTATACTGAATATTGCGATATGCTTTATGTAAATGGAGTTTATACTGAACATATCTGACAAATGGTTAGCTGACGAAGTTGACATGGACCTCAAGTCACCCCCACAAAAGAACACCATATTCTACAACAGATGCAATCCAACGTCCCATACACGTGGTCACCCATTATCAATTGAGCTGGCCCAACTATTTAGGACGCGTGTTATAATCTGAAGAAGATGTATACAGATATTATTGTTTTGAACTTTATACTCAATGTTGCGATATGCTCTATGTAATTGGAATTTATATTAATAATATTATATATAATCCAATAAACCATTTGTTCATTGTTATGAGTTAACTCTAAGTTTAACCGCCGCTTATTTTGACGCAGAAAGAATGAAAGAAATGGTACGGAAAACTGAACAGGATGGTAAGTTAAACATTTCCTTTTAAACTAAGAAAAAAATACGGCAGTTACAATTTCGTTAGGGTTTGAAATACGGACTGTGTCCGAGGGCTCCGGGTCACGGGAATAAATGATGGTACCATTCATTCACAATAATTTGAAACTGTGTTACTGGCGAGTTGGCATAATCCTGTCTCGACACAAGGGAACACAGAAGTAAGACTACAATTTTAAATGAATAGTCCAACTGCCAATTCTCACTATCTTATTGGTTAGTTGCCTTCCAGAACATTCCCATACTATCGTGCTATCAACTGGTCATACCAATGGTCATAAAATAGTTGATGAATCACCCGTGAAGATCCAGTTTGGAATGGGTCTTCTGCAACCCATGCTATGCTCATCGTAAGAGGCCACTAACGGGATCGGTTGGTCAGACACACTAACTATGTTGATGTATGTCATCGTATCCCAATTGCGTAGATCGATGCTCATGATGACAATCACTTGATTGTCTGGCATTGATAGCTGGCATATTACTGAGTGCGGCGTTAAACAACAACCAAACAAACTTGACTTATATAACAACTAATTATTATGGGCGGGACGTTCAATGTCAATATGTAGAAATTAGTGAAAACACAATTCACCAAAACTGTCTAAAGTAATAATGTAAACGGTGGTTTGAACCCTCCACACTTGCTCTGAACAACATGCAAATAATATAAACGTGTTTGTCTTTTATGCGTGCCCCTCTTAACACGACTCAACTGTCTTAAGTTCGTACACACATGTTAATTGCTTATCCAAAAGCGCTAATACGAAATTCCTTTCAAATGTTTCCTTATATCTTTCCAACGATTACTCATCCAAATGGCCCATGCCCCAAATGCAAATTTTGCAAACCCATAACAATTAAAGGCACATTGCTGCATACCCGTAATTCGTTAAAACAGAAAATTGGAAATTATATAATGTATTCCATCATTTTGGGTGTTCTTCCCAATTTGAAATAAAGCTGATATATTGTTCAAAGCGACGTAAAATCACTCACACAACGTTCATCTTGGGTGACTCTAATGATGGTTCAGATCGGTGACTTGTTGAAGTTATCGTTTCATCAAATAGTCCCTGGATATTGTGCTTCCATGTATTATTCACTCTTTCAAACACTATGGAAACGTAAATTTCGGAATATTTATGTAGTAGTTTTCATTGAAATATATTTCCGTTGAAATGAACACCAAACTCAGTGTCTCTCAGTACTAGTGTGTGGATATTTGTTGCCTGATTTCAGATATAGAAGCATAACAATAATATAATAGTATTTATTTGTTTACAAAAGTTTCATTATTGATATTACCTTTCACAGTCTTTTGGTTTAGTATTACATGTCTACACATTTAATTGTGTCTTATCATATGCATTGTCTGCCATTTTCATATGCGTTAAGGTTTTTCTTAGATGACCAAACTATTACCTCAACAGCTGGATGACGGGAACCTGGGCTACGAAAAGAAGATAGAGGGCGAACACTTATTTTAACGAGTTATTTTATTACATAAAAACAAGTGAACATAATGAAATATGTAATTATCTACACATACACTACATACGAAACCATAAATAGTCAACACAATATGTTGATATAACTACAGGTCAGTAAAATGTGCATCTGTTGACAATAAATTTCCATCATATAGGCTTCTTGCATAACTCAAAAGCACAACATAATGAGCGAAAAGCACCATAAAGTCAAAAACAAATCAAAAACTATCACTAGCTGGGATTAATATTTATCCTCTAGTGGAACACTTCAATAACAATGTCGTGTTCCCAACGTTGACCGCGCAACAACAATCTGAAAACGGTGAACTTCAGCTTTTGAGACTCTGAAGCACCTTCTGTCACTTCGCCATTAAACCTTCAATATGGTCAGCGCCAAATTGGCAATTTAACGTCTTCAGTTACGTGCTACTCGGGCGCATTGAAGCTGTTTATTTGAATACTTCACTGCAAAGGTACATCTGCACGAACGTCTCTGAAAGATTAAAATGGGACGCACACAAGGCGTGAATAGACCCTGCTCTGTTGGCATGATACATGTACTTTCCTTCCACCTTGGTACGATTACATGACACTGGAATAAAAAGCTAGATGAATGAAACTCTTAGAAAAAAATCTGAAAACATAGAAAGATAAGTGAACAAGTAACATATGTTGCTTGCGTTTAACACTGCTAAGATTTACGAAAGCCTAATGGTGCCACACTTTTTCTCGCTATTACAATTATTTTTTTCCATGTTACTTCGAGTTCGTTACCTCGATTATTTTCTCATAATTTCAACTATTTTCTCGAAATAGCGAGTTCTTTCGTTACCTCAAATATTTAAAAGTTCATCTAAAACACCCGAAATCTCAATTTTTTTCGCGTTGCTTCGATTATTTTCTTTTTATTTCGAAAAAACAATTAACCGTTTCGTAAGGTTTATGCAACCAAAACACCTACGGCAAACTAATTTACTCTGATATAGCCTAATGTCACACAATTTATTACAGTTTATAACTGAGTACAACGTCCAACGGTGACTGCGAGTTGATTGCAATTGCAAATATACAATCAACGCCAGGGGCAAGTCAAAGGGGATCTGTTTTAGATGATTGCAATGGGACTGCTCACCACGATGTAAGTAATATGTCGTCACTTCATGTTTAATTGAACATTTAATTATTTTTCCTCTCCTCGTGCCATTTCTTTGTCAGTCTGTCGAAAGTCGACGCTGGCAATTGCCGACGATATCCACTCTTTTCTTTAGTTTCTTTTAGCATGCTTGAGTGGTATTTTAGTGGTCTTGTATGTAGCTCCGGATAATAAGGAGCAAACACCCTCACGGGTATTCTGTCACGCTCTAATGGGATTCCATATTCCTTGGGAAAGATCACTCTGGGATGTTCAATGTTTTCATCCATCCATCTTCTTACCAAAGGTCCCGTTTGAATTTTTGGAAGAGTGGCTCTCACTAACTGTGATGAAAAATACATTATATCAGAACGATGATGTAGATGTTCTATCGCAACACGAACTGAATACTCCACTTACCATGGCGAATTAAAAGAAATTATTCATTGACTAATTTACAGCACTGAACGAAACATCTTACAGTGACCTTGACCATATACAGAGGCCTCACAGTAACCTTTCAGTTGGCAGTCCCACCTACTAAGTACCAAGTTTCATTGACAAACAGAAATAATAATGGTAAAGACATGGTTTAAGGTAATTACACCAAAGAACAGTGTCACATTAAAAATACTTCCCCAAAGAAATTACTTGTATTAAATTTGCTATGATATCCAAAATGTCCAAGTACGATGCAGAAAAGACAAAACACCAAGCGACGTTTCAGCAACACGTTTTAAGTATTCAGATTCATTATGCCTACGTGATGTTTTTGCCATTTCTGAAGATAAAATTAGATCCCACATTAATTCAGTACAGATTTATTTTCTCGATTCAGGATTGTCTACACCAATGTGTCATCAAGTTTCTCAAAGCAAAGATAGTCTGCACATCATTGCATGAATCAATGACTTAAATTCTATTCAAATATTTGATTTTCAAATTTCAAGTACTCATGGATCAAGTGTACCAACGAATACACGAGATACGTTTACTTACCTGCGGTCGTGATATCGCAATTTGCGTTGATTTTCTTACACGCATTTCTACAAAAGATTAGGATCTTCAGTGTTCTTTTATATGTGTCTGCATTAAAAACTGCTTGTTTTGATAACACAAATAGTGACCATACGTATTACTGAATACATGCTGCTATTGATAAACGTACGTCTTTTAGTCACCTGATATGTTTGATTTTTATCTGTTAATTTGTTTCACGTGAAATCGGTGATAAGTAGTCATACCTCACTGTTTTACTGCCCACGATGACTGCTTTTAAGGAAAGTATAATTTGTGCTATGGCTGGGATATTGCTGATGCGTATACTGATTTTATCGTGGCTACAACCTCAATGCACAGTAGTGATTAGCGCTACCACAAGCATTCCATGCGGATTTTGCAAATATTTCATATGGGTGTAAATAAGTTTTATATCTATTTTTCTCTGTAAATTGATCGGATATGTCTAATGAGGAGAATCAAGGCACATACCACCTGCTAACTCTGTTTCAAAGATCCACAAGTTTGTGCTTGGACTGTCATTTTTCACACCGGAACACTCGGAGACATAATGCTGGACACGCGTCATCTCAACACATTCTTTTGTATTGCCTTGTTCCACGTCCAGCAATGGGTTGCCTTCCCTGTAGAAACGAGCATGTATGAATAAGTTACGTATGTCGTTTCACCACATCATACCATGTATATACCGACGTGTCTATCTACATTATCCACGCAACGGGATACGATGACATGCATCAACCAAGTCACCGAGCCTGACCACCCTAAAGGGCGAGTAACGGAATCGGGTGGTCAGACTCGTTGACGTGGTTGGTGCATGTCATCGTTTCCCAATTGCGTAAATCGATGCTCATGATGTTAATCACTGGATTTTCTGGTCAATGCTCGATCATTTACAGACCGCCGTCATATAGCTGGAATATTGCTGAGTGCGGCGTTAAACTACAAACAAACAAACATGAGTGTGTTGCGAAACCGAGATTTAGAAAAGGATTTTAAATTCTACAGCAGTCATCTATTAACCTTATAGGGACATGTGAATATCTACAATAAAAGAGGCACGAACAAGTAGGTGACAGTAGAGGATAATATACTAGTTCATCACTTTTTGCATGTATTCGTGTCTGCTACATTTTCAAACCTACATCAATCTTTCCAAGTCAGTTATCCGACGGTGGGCAGGTGTCAGTTCAAGGAGAGTTGAACTGGTTTTGGCAAGTCGAACAGCAACTTCTGAGGCCAAAAATGGAGCCCAGGATGTCACCTGACGTCTTCCGATTTCTTTCACTCCGTCCAACGACTCCATGAGGAACAGTAATTCATCTTGTGTAAGAAACACATCCTTTCTCTCAGTACTGTCTTTGTGAAAGCAGCAGAATGTTTCCGACAAACCGATACACCTGAGGAAGCTATCAACTGCATCTCGCAGTTTGTCATGATCCATCACAAGCGAACTTCTAATGGCAAAAAGTGACTTCAGCTTCATATCTTCTATTCTCATCTTTGATTCATTTGTTAGATCCAGCACTTCTGACATTACAGTAACGCATGACTTATTCCGAAGGAGAAAAGTCATTTTCCTTCCTACCAGTTTATTATATTCCTCACTTTTACTCAGTTTGTTTGAATCCCTCACGAGACTAAATACAATTGGGGGATAGTCCTTTGTGAAAATGCAGACATCTCTTTCTAGGCACTCGGGGACTTTCGCTTTTTCACTCCTTGTATCTGCGTTAAGTGTTATCAGTAAACACTTTGCAGTGTACACAAATGCACCTTCCCAAAATGTATCTTCGCAGACAAGTATTTTTCTCACATGGCTCACAGATGCATCAGAATCGTCACAAGATCGAGGGTAAATTACCAACTCATTCCCTGTTAAAGAATATCAAATACATTAGTAGATGCATAAAATATGAATTGTACTGGTGGCGCGAGTTTAATTGACATGAACATGATACAGTTAGGAGATAACCATTCTGTGTTTTCAATGTAAAACAGGTTACCTGTAGAGTTAACCGCGCTAAATTGAATTATGAACCGAACCTGACAGACATATGATAAATTACACTCATATCTTCCCAAGCTCCAATCTACCATGACTAAATATAACGCGAGCTCTTTCGTGTCAGAAAATATATTGAGTGACGCGGCATGGGTTGAGTCCAGACTGTTGAGTGGGTTGTCGATCAGAATATACGGAATCACCGACAACAACCTTTTAACAAAATAAGGCGCTCCATATGCTCAAGCAGTTTCTTTACACCCTAACATTTGACCGGCATTCAAAGCATGTAAACACGGCCACTTGGTAAGCTAACATAAGGCCTGCACCCCTAAAGAAAACTAAGCAGGCCTTGCAAAGATTTCGTTTTACGCCGCACGTCACTATTATGACGTCACATCGCTCATTGTGACACAATAGATATGACATCACATCGTACAAAGAAAAGCACAAAAAGCAAGCTCTCTGTTGTTCTCGAAGCTTGAAATACATCCTCTTTGCAGATTTCTATCGTGTTTTCTGCGTGAAAATATTGCCACACATTCTTCGAATATCGTAGTAACGGCAACTTTGCATTTTGTAGTACATAATTGAACGTATAATTATTGAAATATGCCTACCGACAATGACTGTAAAAGAAGTACTATTAAAAATATATATGCTTCCGGTTTTACGCGGCCGACACATCGGCTGTTAAATCGGAGGGCGTTTATTGTGATTTGATACTTCTGACTGACCAGTCAAAGTCGAGTTTTTACAAAATTCATGGTCGAATTTTAAATTTACAATTTTACAACTTTAAGTATTTGGACTGGGGTACTACAAAATATTGTCTAGAACTCTCAAAACATCCCGCATTACCCTGAACCACTATTCAATAAATGATAAGGACACTTCTTTCTAACTTCGTCGATTTACAACCTGAATGTAATACCGTGATGCTATTTTGTCGCTGCTACGCCAAAAACGTTATAAATCTTACCTGCCACCTTTGAGAAAATATCTTCTATCATTGCGTCATATGATACATCTCTGTTCACACCACAAAGGAAGCTTGTTTGATCGCTTATCTGAAACACTATAGACAATTATTAATAGTATGCATTTCATATGCGTACTTCTTATCGGCTTATCGGGTGAATATTATGAATATTATGATCGGATCAATTGCAGAGCGGTGATGAATGAGTTTTCTCGAAGTCAGTCATGCCAAGTGAAGTGTATTCTGGTGAAACACAACATTTAATACATACTAGGTATCTCGTGTGTCCGCCATGTGCATTGATGACTGCCGTGCTACATCGATACATGGAATGGATGAGGCTGCTGATGAACGCCATAGGCACTTGAGCCCACACTCTGAGGAACGCCTGGCTCAGTTCAGCTGCAGTTGTCAGCCTTGGGCATTCATCCGCCTTGGAATCTCGTCCCACAGGTGCTCAATTGGATTTAAACCGGGACTTAGGGCAGGCCACTGCATGGTTCTGATGCCATTCTAATGGAGTGGACACGGGCGTGGTGGCGGCGACGTGCAAAGTGAGGTATGGCGTGTGGTCTCAAGACTTGATCAATGTACCGAGCTCCTGTGACACCATTGCCTCTACCTGGATCGATTTTCTGGAAGACCACAGGCCCGACCCTCTGTCCAAGACCAATTCTACCCCACACCATGATGCTCGGACCATCCCCACGAGTCTCTCTCAACAACACAAGCATCCGAATAGTGTTCCCCACGACGTCGCCAGACTCTCTCTGCCATCTGCTGTTGAGATACAGTAACGGCTCTCGTCTGAGAAGAGGACTCTTCTCCACTGCTGGTGGCACCAATGCTAGTGCTGTGTTGCCCACTGAAGACGGTCCTGGCAATGACGTGGTGTCAGAATGGGTGCTCGGTGTGGTCTGTAACAGTGGAGGCGTCTGCTCGTCAATCGTCGACGCACGGTGTCCGCACTAATGTGTCTGTCGAGCAGTTTCCGCAGGAGTAACAAAGCGATCTTGAAGATGCTGTCGCACAATCTGACGTCGGGTGGTGACCCTTGGTCTTCCACTACGTGGTCGGTCATCTGTAGTGTTGGTGGTCTGGAGCCTGTATATGGTCCTTAGGTGGACTTGAAATAGATTTGCTGCTTACCGGGCGGTTTGTCCAGCTTCCAATCCAGGGCTTGGAGTTGCTGATTTCTTTTCAATCTTGCAATTGGCATGTGGGAGCAATTCAGTAACAAATGAATGTTATCCGATCTGGGTGGATTCTTTTAGGGCAAGAAATTGGGGAACGCATGTGGGTTTCAATTTGCACGGAACTCACGTGCATCGGGTTACCATGGCCATTGCCGTGATGCGTTTGGGAGATCAGTTTTATTGTCATTTGCTTTGGTTTTTTATCATCAAATTTCATTTTTCTGGACAAGGTAATGTTAAATTTTAGAAACGTTGACATTTATTACCCAGATGTTTAAATGACAACTTTATATGCAATGTTACTTGGGGTGACGTTTCTTTTGCGGTTCAGTATATATATGACACATCTACAAACACATGCAAAGGCAAGTCAATTGTTCACCTGACAATGACCTTCACATTTCTACCATAAAACGTTTTGAAAGCTTACTGAGGCCGTGAATTTTGTAGTCTTGATCAACCAACTTTTGAGCACGCTCTTTGTCATCGTGGTAGAAATGTCTGATTGTACCTAAAAGGTTATGAAATGTAGATACCAAAGCCTGGAGCTGCTGGAACATTGCTCGACATAAAGGGAACGTTGAAAGTTAAAGTCCTCCCTTTCGCCATACAGAATTGTGGAGACTTTTTGTCACTGTTAATCGTTATGTATAGACCTAAATATGATTCTCTGAGTTAACTTAAATGTCAATTCACATGTCTTCCTGAATGCTCGCAGTGTCTAGGTATTTCGATGTGCGTTCTTACTGTTAGGTGGATTATGGGCAGGTAATAAAATTCAGGGGCTATTCACACAGGACAAAGTTTTCAAGTGTAATTGACAAGACAACATTGTCAGGTGGAAGTCGTCTTTCAATCTTTACAGCGCTACCATTTGAAAGGAGAAGGTATTCCGAGCTGATTTCCTTTTCACGCAAGTCGCGATCGTGTTCCACATCCTGCGATTACTTGTGTTGACAAAGGAGAGCGTATCGATGTACTTGTGAATTTTCACTTCTTGAAATGTGGCATGTTAAGGAGTAGTGGTGCGGTTGTTGATGATCAGTTTCTTATGTGTTGTAGTGGTATGTTGTCAAAGTCGCTGTAGCAACATTAGTAGTAGTGATGGTAGTAGTAGTAGTAGTAGTAACAGTAGTAGTAGTTGTAGTAGCAGTAGTATTTGCAGTTGTTGATTATAAGTTTCATGTGTAGATGTTCTAGTAGTAATAGTAGTATGTTGTCATATAGTCGCTGTAGTAAAATTAGTAGTATTGGTGGTAGTAGCAGCAGCAGCAGCAGCAGCAGTAGTAGTAGTAGTAGTAGTAGTAGTAGTAGTAGTAGTAGTAGTAGTAGTAGTAGTAGTTATTGAAAAAGTACCAGTTGTGATTTAGGCGCATTAGAAATCTAGGCGGCATATATGACAGTTTGACACTTCTTACTATGAACGTCCTGCGAATACCCTATGAAGATCATCGTCCGAAACCGTCGGATTGCTACCAGACCCAAGCATGGGTTTATGCTGACGATCTATATATGAGCGCGACCTGAATCTTCTTCAAAACGTTAAGTGAGACTTAAGTGAACATGCACCATATTATTCTTTCAAAGTATTCTTACATTTGACTAATTTAATACGTATTAAGATGAACATACCTTTGAAATAATTTTCTTCATCATTATCGTTTTTGGACGTTGTTCTTGCAGAGGAGCTTGTATCCTCTAAATCAGTTGTTGACCAAACAGTATCTCCTGCTGGTGAATATGAGAGATATGATGAGCTCAAACTTGAACCTTTATCAGATGCCATTCCGTTTTCAATGCGACTTATTCATATCATGAAGTGCGTGTTTAAGACATTCCAGCACTTGTGAATTTGTCCAACCACTTATCAAACGGCATTTGAGTAATTCCTTTTTTCCCACCTTCAACAGTCTCATAAGCTTCCGGCCCCCTTTCATAAAAGACAATTCCAGCAACAGACCGAACTGCAATTTCTAAAACTATTCCCGAATATCCAACATCATGAAAACCTACTGCTATTAGACCATGTCCTTTACTGACAGATTCGTCACTTCCCAGAATGAGAACAGTGTTAAGTTTGTCCAACAAACACTTCTTTAATCTGTCCTGGTCAAATTTCAATTTAAATCCTTTTATGACAGGGCGTTTTGATGATGAATTTGTGTTGCTTTCTTCCTCTATGCCAACATAATATGAGCCACCATCCTCAAGTTTCGACATGCAGCTCATATATTCCTGAAAACGCAATTGTTTCCATATATAGTTAGCCAATTCTTCAGGTTTATCTTCAAATTGCTGACCATAAAATGCTTTCAGCTGTATACTTCTATGTTCATGCAAACTTTGCAGGTCGTGTGGAATCCCTTTAATCACTGGAGCAGACACTTTGCTTTGTGATGAATTGGACAGTATGTGCAAAAGATTTGAAGCTGTTGGTCTTTCGACTTGGTGATCAGATGTTACTTTGGTATTATATTCAACTGTGAATACACTTCTTGAGTTAGATATAGTCACCACCACGAAGTCAAAAAAGCTCTGGAAAGCATCCTTCTTGTGAAGCCATTCTCTCGCATACGCATCAGTAAAGAGGCATCCGGCCCCAGGAAGTACATTTTTCAAACTTTGATCAACTGCTTGATCAAAATAACCGAGGAACAAATCACCTTTTGACTGGCCCTGTAGATGAACCAACAACACACCACCACGTGAATTTCCTATGGCTGAAACGTTACGTTCAAATTTCCTTAAAAGTTTTTTCTTGTCGTTATTTTTCTTGTTTTTAGTAAGCAGGTCCACATCAACATGTAAAATGAGTGTGTTAGGTTCCGGTGATGTTTTAATGAAGGACTTGCATGCGGCTAAACATCTTTTACATTTCTCTGAAAGATAAATTCCATATTATGTTTTCATTTTATACAGGATGATATGCGCATTTTGCCATAATGAAGGTATAAATATTGCCTACATGTATACATGACGGATTAAGGGAGAAGTGCTTGTTCGGTATCATAATTCAATGTCATCCTAGTTGGGTTTGCTTTTACTACGCTGCATTACTTAATCAGTTCCTACCATGACAAGCAGTCAGCTCTGACCATACGGCCCCCACTTGTCGAAGGAATATCGGGGATCTCTTCCGACCCAAATTCCAATAAAATTTATTATAATAAAAATATCTATCTAGAAAAGTTATCATTGACTATATTCTGAGACATGTATGAAACCAATACATAGTCCATGAGTAACAATTATCTCATCTGATACTCACTTGTAGCCTCGTCCATTACGATCCATATCTGACGAAAACGTACTCATCTCTAAAAATAGAAAAAAATATGTAAAGCATCTATTCAATATATCATTATGATAAAATGCTGAAACACTTTTTAGAAGCATTTCTGATGATCTGATGCGAGATCTATATCAGTCAGAAGATGGATAGATCTTGGGTGGAATTATAGATCTTCCGCAACCCATGCTTGCCGTAAAGGGTGACTATGCTTGTCGTAAGAGGCGACTAGCGGGATCGGGTGGTAAGGCTCGCTGACTTGGTTGATTCATGTCATCGTATCCCCATTGCTTGGACCGAAGCTCATGATATCATTCAATGGATTGTCTGGTCCAGACTCGATTATTGACAGACCGCCGTCATATAGCTGTAATATTGCTGAGTATGGCGTTAAACAAGAAACAAACAAACAAACAAATAATAAAATACTCGTTCTCGTTAGATACCACAGAAAGAACACGAGTTTCGTAGAAATGGTATCAAACGAGAACATTAGGGTTACATTGTTATTAATCGCGATAAATATGTAATTAAATGTAAATAAATTACGTTTAACAGAAAACTGAAAACAGTTGAAAATCCGGTTGTGTATATTGATAAACAAGGACATTGCTATGCATACGCATGAAAGAAGTGTTCCTGTTACGTGTATAAAAACATGACAGTACCAACGACCAATAGCATTATTTCAAAAGTACTTCGACTAATAGTAATTCAGTCCCCAGGACAACTGTACGAACACTTAAAAGGACATCAACAGCGCCGCTCTTTTACTTTCGGACCGACAGTCGACCTAATGCGCATAGGCCTCGTTTAAAGACTTTCTATATAATTTCTGTAATAAATCTATGTGACTAGTTAAGAATGCATAACGAAATGGCTATGCTTAAAAGCGTATTAAAAAAAAGATATTTGAATGATAAAAACGTTGCGAGGTCACGGTTATCCAATCAACAGAAAACTTGCGTGAATGCTTAGTGTGGTTAACGGTGTAATGTATAAAATACCTTTGTTTTTTATGGTAATGGAACTGTACCCTTAATAACACTGAATAATATCAATGGAGAATTCTAAAAGTCTTTGACATGAAAATCCTTATGTCATCGGCCCTGTATGGGATTCCATGTCAAATAGGTTCCACCATCTGATGTCCTGTCTTTCGCCCTCGAATTCAGTGAATGACCATGGTTCGTACAAACTCGATTATATATAAACTGGATTATTAAAAAACAACTCTCACTTAGTTCACATGTTACATTGTTTCAGAAACCTCGTGTTTTAGTGGACATACAGACAAGGACATTTCTGTATTACTCAAGTGAGCAAGAACTAATAGCGTAGTTACATGTGAATAGTTCTTACCTGTCTAAACGTCGACACAGTTTGTGACACAAAGTATGCCACTCAACCACGGAACGCGACAGAACAGGGGCATGGGTGAACCCACGTGCACCTGAGTTGTGTTTTATTAACAAAGATTGGCGTTCTTCTTCACGATTGTTCAACATTTATTACATACGCAGAGCAGCTCAAATGGCTGTACTGTTGACCTGATAACATGGCAACAGGCATAACATAAACAGGGAGATTGTGATTACATGTCATGGATCCGGGACACATATAGAAAGGCGACGCTCCCTGTAGTGTGATCGTACGAGATCACGTTGTTTCGCAAAAAGCACAGTTGGGTAGTCTGTATACGTACCTTCAACTTTTTTTTAGTTTTCACTGGAGCTAAAAACACAGGGATTGTCCACGGGTATGGAATTCACTTACATGGATCCCTGAGAACATTATATTTGATGGACATATCAGTTAGTTCTATTGTAACTTTTGGTGAATAGATGACCCAAATGAAGATTGGCAAACCTATGTGGAACGCATGGAAGTTTACATTTCTTTGGTGCAATAATATGATTCGTGGAAAGCATGGAATTTCGTTATTTCCATGCAATAGTGGGATGGGGTTGGGTGCATATACACGGTTGAAGAGTTGTGCTGCCCAAGATAAACCTGTAGTAAGGTTGGTGGCACGATATCAAGGGGTCGTGTCATTTTGTTAGGTGTAAAGGACAAATGGTTACAAGCGCCTAACGTACAAGCGATTTACGATGCAACGATAGTTTCATTTTGTTTCGGCTTCGCGAGTAACTTTGAAATAGCCTGTTCAATGAAACGCAGTGACAAGTCGTGACCGCCCTACATTGCTCTGTGGAATACGTCGGACAGTTTCGTTACACATTAAGCAGTCTCAAAAGCACTGAGATGTCACGTTAACAGTTGATAACTTTATTCATTAATAAAAGTGGTAATGTTAATATGCAAAATACCAGGTATGGATTGAACTGAAATAACTACAACAGTTTGAATACATTCAAATAAGCTCTCCTTTGCCGCCACCTTTTCAAAGTGGCACAAAGCGACCCACAGACGATCACCTTTTTGGAGACCCGTGAAGATCCGGGATAGAATGGGTCTTCAGCAACCAATGCTTGTAATAAAAAGCGACTATGCTTGTCGTAATAGGCGACTAACGGGATCGGGTGGTCAGGCTCGCTGACTTTGTTGATGCATGTTATCGTATCCCCATTGCTTGGATCGATACTCATGATGTCAATCACTGGATATTTACAAATCGCCGTCACATAGCTGGAATATTGCTGAGAGCGGCGTATAACAACAAACCACCAAACCACCACCACCGACACACACACACACACACACACACACACACACACACACACACACACACACACACACACACACACGCACAATGCACATATACATAACATTCATCTGTAAGTACACAGTGAGACGTATTACCTCACAAAATAAGTGTCTAGATCCCAGATCGTAAATTGTACAGATCGCAATAAAGAAATGTATCGATCACTTTTTTCAGACACTATCAATCTTCGTGTTGGTTCACGTCCTTTTATAGGTCACTAGGGACCTATTCTAACCACCCGTCATCAAATCTCTATTTACGTTATCAAAGGCATCTGAACCAACAACGATACTATTCAAATATGGTAGGCTTAGTGTTTATCTTTGATAACATATTACGCCACGCCAAAAAACATATGTACCATATTATGTTTACATTTATTTTGCAGTATACCTAACCTTACGTACAGCCGACATAGGAACAGTTAAGTGTGTTTGTGCATGTAGTATAGTCTACCATACCTTCATTACCTAAAGATATTGCTGAAATACTGCCGACGTGACTATAAATCTTAACTCACCAACTCACTCACTCAGTACCTAAGGAGCGAAACTGCACATACACCTTATGCATGAACATCACCTGACTTATTCCATATACGGAACGGTGTAACAATACCAATCAGATAATTGCTTTCTCACCAACCAATTAAACCTAACATCGCTTGTGTATGGAATCACATTTTATCATCCAAAACTGGCTCCCACAGGAGATATCGCTTGGATGAGATCAAGCGATATCTACACTGTAGATATCGCTGCAATGACATTACATTACAATGCTTTGCAGACCCTTGTGATGTCCCTGGTTACCATGACGTCACAATCAAATGACATCACTAATGGCTCTGCTACTGAAGCTGTTTGCAGTACTTTTTACACTGAAGACACTGCTAATTAATGTCTACAAATTGAAAAAGTTGAAAGAATGATGTTGGATGATAAATTAAATCTCACCCTCGTGTCTTTTGATACCACTCGGGTGAGATTCTCTATGTAACCAGACACTGGTCGTATGAAGACCTTAACAGTTAAGATAACCTCACCCAACAGATGAAATATCAAAAGGCTACATATTTGTGTAAATGAAGTATTTGTATAATTTTGAAAGAAACTATACAAGTATGATGAAACATATCATTGGCGATACCTCGATAGAAAATAAATCGATCGAGCTATCAATAGATGTGTGTTGGGTGAATTGATATACAAACAACGATCTTAAAGTTTGAATTTGTTTTAGTATTCGAAATGAAAATATCGGAGTTGAACGATAAACACATTCACGTGAATTCAGATGTATTTGGATACAACTTTCAACAGGATTCCAGATCAAAGTCTGAAATATTTGATTGGTGAGAAACCGTCTATATACATGTAGTTGTTTTATAACTGTACGTTTCAGGTTGGGGCATCTAGTCAGAACAAGCTCGCGAGTTCCATGTTTTGCATGATAGCGAGAAGAGCAGGAATGCCTTTGATGACTAGGTCTAACTACTGATGACTTAAGGTTTCTTGGAATAATGTTGTATATATACACAACGACATTATCACCTACTTCGAAATGCTAGACAATTACACATCTCATTTCAATATAAATTAATGTGATCGAATTCTGAATAAAAGGGGTTAAATATGAAACAACCTGGAACTCACAACTGCCTATATTAAAATACGACACACAAATAACACGTAATAGAAAAAAATATTGGGAAAAGAAACTTTGTTCGTTGATATTTTTGACACACATCTAACCCGACTGTGTTGGAAAATTAACATGTTTTATGCGTGTTCCTCTTCACTTGTAAGCAGCATAATTTCTGCATATGTATACGCCAGACGTAATTCAAAATGAAGATAGTTTCAACACAATCAGCAAACGCGCTATCGTGTTACCCAATTGTCTAGTCCACCACCCTTGGATTGTCTGGTCGGATAACTCGATGACCACCGTCGTATGGCAGGCTTACCATGGTTACAAACACCTGGCGTCTTCTCCGATTTTAAGTGATCCATTTATATAATTGCCATTACAATATGTTTGGGCAGATAATTAAGACTGATTATTCTCTGGTGTGGACCTTTTATATTTGCAAAGGATGGTGGTCTACATGTAGCACAACGATACATGTTAAACACGAGTCCATACCTCCTTTGAGTTCACTGAAATGAAGGGATCGCTTTCCTTTTGAAGTGAAGATATATGTACCACTTTATTCGTTAAGCTTCAACAGATTCAATGTTGTGTTCTAAGCGGCGCAAGATATATGAAGCATGTACCATGCAACGATTATGCTGACTATAATATAAGATTTGCCTCTAACCGCTCCGAAGGGACTCCTCGTATAATTGATTTGAAGGAGAGAGAAATGTATGGGTATGGGATGAGAGTAAATGTACGTATGTTATGTATAACACCCTTCTGACCCGTTTTTCATTATACCACGGCGTATCAGTTTGACATGAGAGAAACACGCGACGTGCTGATGCGAATTCCTAGACGTTTACCACTTTGGTGGAACTCATGAACACGGGTTTGGTGCTGATTGACATAGAAATCACTGTTAAATAACGTGCGTTTAGAAACCTGATGGAGTAAAGATAAAGTCCTACCGTCCTAGTACTGTGGAGCTATCAGGATTACAATCAGAAAATGAGATACTCGTAAGCCCACACGTCTTTATCGTTCGTATCTTCTGTGTACTGTGGACAGCAAGCGCAAGAGTCTTGAAAATGAACAGAACAGATCAGCAAACTTATGTTTATCCACGTTCCATACCTTACTTGAAAGCTTTGTCAGTTTGTATCATTATGTTAATCCAGATTGAAACTGCCAGTTTCTAAACTTGATCTGTAGCTGTTGATGTTGAGAAGAACATCAGGTGACAGACCAATACCAGGACTATATGCACAGACCACGCGATTGTGTAAATACTAAAACGTGAATATGTGAGTTGAATTTGTGCTTGGAAGCCGTAGTTTTCATCATGAGATGTTGCCGACCGATCTTTATGTGACATAAGGAGTAGATCAATTCAATAGTAATACTGATTGTAGTTCAAATTTCTGTTTTTGCTCATCCAGTGAACAATACTTTGTTTTTCTCAAAACCGGGTTCTTATATTACCTAGAACAATAACTCTCAAATTATCGGCCTCTTATAGGAGTGAAAATGTGAATGTTGTTTAACACCGCAGTCAGTAATATTCATGCCACACCAGACGCTAATTAAAAAGCATTTCTCAACGCCGTTTCAACGTATTCGCGATTAATCCAAGGCAAGATTGCGGACATAAATATAGGGCCTAATTTAGATCAAGCTATTGCAATTTCTGAATGTAAAATAGATCTTATTATAGACTTGGACGCCTAAAAATTACATTTTGCAATGTTTTATGACCTATCAATTTCTTATTGTTTGTAGTGTTGGTGTTCCAAAGATTTTCTCAGCATAGTGAGAGTACACTTGTGATGGAGTGCAAGGAAATCCACTTAGCAAGCGACATCGACGCGTTTTTAAAAGTGAAATTCATGATCACGACGAGAGGCCACAGTTTTAGATTTTCAAGATTGCTTTTGTTATGCCTTGTACAACCAGCTGTCAGCTTAGGCACACATCGCGATCGACGCTTATCTTATTCAGCACATACAAACAGCGTTATAGGTGCGTGTTGAGCTTTTCGACACCGGATGAACTCGGGCAATATATTGGCAAGAACAAATGCTCCAACTTACGTCTTAAACACTCTGCGTAGACAAT